CATACCAAATTATTCTTATATTTAATAATATTATTACAAAATACGGATCGGATCAGATATATCGGATAATTCAATTTTAATATCCGTATCCGATCTGTATCCGACAAATATCTCCAAATAAATATCCGTATCCGATCCGTAAACTCCGGATATCCGAATTTTCGGTTCGGATACGAATCGAATAACGGATCGGTTCGAATTTTTCGGATATTTTGTCCACCCCTATGTGCAATTCATGAGTCGTTATTTTGGTTGAGAGTATCTAATACCAGTCGAATATAAAAATTATATTTGAATTAAATTCAATCTAACAAAACTAATTAATGTAAATGTAGTCTAAATAGAATATAAGAATAATGCGATTCTCCACAAACAAAAAATTATTTTAGAATAGATGTTTTGTAATAAAATGGATCTCAAGTCAAAATTTAATAGAATTATAAACAAACTAAAATTTGGTACAGAATTCGATTGATATATTATTAAAACAAATAACAAAAAATATCAAATAAATTCTTTTGATTACACATAAGCATAATCAATGACCCGTCTACTCAAACGGTATTTTTTTAGTTTTTATAAAAGTCAAAATAAATCATGGTTAAAAATATTTTTAAAATTTTATTGTAAATGATAAATTATTATAAATAGAATACCTTGATTTACATCATGTGCTACATACCTTTTACAAGCTATAAACTCTCTTATAGATTTTTATCTATATAATTGTTAAACTGGGGATAATTTTACGCATTTATTAAACCCATTTTTTCACGATAAAGAAAGCAATATATAACATATGAGGTATGGGATTCGATCCCTACCGCCTCCTTAAACTCTCACCTGTCGTCTGTTAGTTACGGCTGATTTACCTCTCGCGTGTGTGTTGCAGGCTCGTGCGTGTGGGCTTGGGGTTTTCTTTGGTCTGCGATGTCGTCCTCGTCCAGCCCATTGGACTGTGAGGTGTTACGGTGTCCGGTGTCCGACTCGAATGGTTGTAGGGCAGGTTCTTCAATGTGTATATATATATATATATAACATATGTTATAAATAAATAATATTGTGTATAGAGGGAGAGGAGTGGCAGATGGGGTGTGGGGCCATGTTGGAGGAGAGAGGGACAAAAGCAGGTTTCATCTGTCGAGTGTGTATATACGTTTTGTCAAAGAGACAGCCAAACCACATCCAACTTGTTCGTTGGGCGTCAAGTTTGATGCCATTCTACACGCCAACACTATCTCAAATTTTAGGCTTTTAGATTTTGATTTTCAATAATTCGACTTTTTGAGTTTAAAATACAATATCGAACTATTATAGATGAATATCTGAGTTTTGAATATTTTATAAATATTTTAAATATTCGCATATTATTAACTAATAAAACAAGAGTGAAAGTGAATCAGTGTACTTTATAGCGAGACAGATCAAATACACGCGTGAGAAATGCGAATCGATGGACGATTCAAAGGCAACTTAGGATTCGATACGTGAGAGAAGGGGTGGGACAATTCCCAAGGCGAAATAATGAGGCGAGAGATTTATTATTTGATTTTTGTTGAAAAAGATTTAGGACCCCGACTGTTTACATCGTTGTATTTGTGATTATTGGACATTTTATAGGCGTTTAATGCGTGTTTGATAATAATTTATAATTATTGATTATTTGTTGTTGAGAGTGTTGGAGAAGCATAAAGAATATGTAATTTTATACGTACCTGATAAGATGATGATCTCAATTTGATCCGATTATCTCATCTTCAACTTATTAAAATATGTATAAAATAGTAGAAAATTGAATACGACTTCAAGGCGTGACGAACACTTTTTTAAAAGCGTTATTCTATCCCTACCGGATAAATGAGATTATAGAAATACACTTTTGAGACAAAGTGAGCGACAATTAATTCGGTTCACCCTTCTGACAATCATCAAACCAAGTCTTGTTTATGCAAAAATAAAGAAACCCTTGCGATATTTTCTGCAGAAAAACTATACACAAAAACACACTCAAATCTCTCACAAAATCATAAAATCACTTAGATCTTGTCACAAATTCTTGTTTAATATATTATTCTTCATGTTATACAATCTGTAGTGTGTTTATAAACACTAAAACGTCGAAAAGACATGAAAACTCAGAAGTTTTCGCCGACCGATTGCGACTTTTCGCTTAAACGGTCACTAAAAGAATGAATTACTCACTCGTTTTTTCTAACTATAACCCGATTATGATATCTAAGTATAATTGCTCAGAAAAAAGTGGGCTACCTGTTTGCTTATTCGAGGTACAATCCGATTGTGAAATCTGAACATTATTATTTAGAAAAAGTGGGCTACCCGCTCGTTTATTCGAGGTACCACCCGATTATTTCGAGATCACTTTTCACATTTTAAATCGAACGTAAACTTTTTCGACTAATCATAATACTTTAAACCAATTCATTATATATCATTTATAAGTATATAACTCTTCCACCATGAGAGATTAAAAACCAATTAACTGTTTACTCTAAAATACCAAGAGAGACCGATTTTGAATGATTATTATTTAAAATTAAATAATAAATTAGAGTTACAATTGTAGTTTGATATAAAAAAAATATTTTGATCTTTTTATTCAAATGATAACAACCAATGTCAAAATGTAGGTGATAAGTTATAATTTGATTTTACAAGTTTTATCGTTGTTGTGAATTATTGTAGTTTAACCTGTTAATTTTTAAATTGTCGACTAGGGGTGTCAAAAAAAGCCTG